ACTCAAGGAACAGCTACACACATGGGGAAAATGAATACCAACCACGGCAGTCCATGATTACCATTGAGGAGATTGTTCGAGCCCTTGAAATACCAACGAAGGACCAAGTTCCGGTTATGGTTAGCCCGAAGTGGCAACCTCCAGAAGTAGGGTGGGTCAAATTTAACACGGATGGAGCAACAAGCTTTGAGCGAGGCAGAGGTGGAGCAGGGTTTATCGCCCGTGATCATCATGGCTCGTTTGTGAGAGCGGGCTGCACACGGTATGAGGGTATCACCGACCCTCTGTCCATTGAACTCCTCGCGTGCAGAGACGCGCTATCTTTGGCGCATGGGATGGGACTCCAGCATGTGGTGGTCGAGACAGACTGTCAGGAGATACAGCGTCTTTGGGAGATACCACATAAGTCTAGCGGATTCCATCTTATAAGAGAGATGAAGGAGATGAGTGTTCTGTTTCAGGAATTTAAGCCGCCGTTTTCAAGTCACCATACAAACTTGGTGGCTCGCCGCTTAGCTAGGCTTGCTTTACATCATTCTGTTATTCAACAATTGTATGAAACAATCCCTGGCTGGCTGCCTGGTTTCCTACAGTCAAACATGCTAGACATGCTAGCACCTGATGATTAAAATGCCGACGGGCATTTAGCTTCAAAAAAAAAAAAAGACTACAGATGGTCTCACCAAACCTTTGGCCCGTCTTGGCGGCGGTGTCGTACCCTCTGGCTTTGACAGTGCAAATTACCTTGCACTTACAAAAACACTAACAAAGTTCGAACGCCAACACATGTCGCCGCTAGCATAGACAAGTTCAGCACCGGAATGATTGACGTTGACCAAAAGGGTTGGATTTGGATAAAATTCATGAGGGTTGCAATCATGCATTCGCCAAGCGTGCAGCAGCATCAATTGATGAAACTGAAGATGTGGCTGTTACCAAACTTGACGAAACTGAAGAAAATGTGGCTGTTACTTGGCCTGACGAAGCTGAAGAAGAGGAAGAGTGCGTTACTTCGGACGGCGACGTCTAAACTGAAGAAGAGTAAGCCTGCAGCAGCATCGGAGTCAACGAAGCACGATGGGAAAAAATTGGTCATGTCGACCTACCTGCAAGTAAGTAGAATTAGTCACTTCTTTTGTTTGGGATAAAGGTCGCTTTTATAAACTCAAAATATAGCATCAAACGAAAGCATGATGCGCAACGCCCAGCCTCCGTGTATTTAAGATGCAGAAAGCCAACACCAATAGTTTGAATAAAATAAAATAAAATAATGATCCGACATATCAGCAATAGAAGAGTCATGTGACCGACACTATGCCTATATCGAATGAGGTGACGAACACATTCCGAGATTATGCTGCCATTCATGTTGGGTAAAAATCTCCATCGCCACCAGTTCCAACCGCATAGCGATTGGCACTCCATTCGATGCAACATAGACCACATACAAAGCGAGTGCGTACATCGAAGAAAAACCTGCAAAGGCAATTTTTCCTATCAAAAACCAAATCATTTCTACAGTCAATGCGGCCATAACAAGGCAAACGCTCCGACTCTTATTAGGGTTTTGAACCTATTTCGAATATCATCTAATCAATGGTCAAAAATATTGGCAACACTTATGAAGGTATACAAACTAGATGCTACTTGGATGACAGACCATGTAGAACGCGCAAACTTGCACTAAAAAAGAGGTGTCTGATTCTCTAGTCATGAGCACAAAAACTACGCTCATTGCTTCCTTGCTAGTTGCGACGGGCGATGTTTTCTTTGGTTAGCACAACTCCGCTGTGAACATAACAGATGGAGATTTTAACTTTTAGCGGAATCTTTGATTTTCAATTTTTCTTGTTATTATTCACTGAAACCTCTGAATGTGTGAGTGTACGATACTTCAAGTTGACCGTGAAGGACCCATATTTAGTGAGACTTCAGCGAAACTCATCTCGTCCTTACGTCAGGTTAATCAACTCCAACCAGGATAAAAGATTTTGACATCAGACAAGTGCAAATCAAATCCCGCCTGAAAGCAATATCTGGTGGGGATGAACTGGACACCTGCGCAAGAGTATCATTCTTATGGCGAACATGTGGTACAAAGCTGAATATTGTTCTCGGGGGCTTGTATTGCATAGCCACTTGTCCTCCCAGAAAGAGATCCCCGACCCATCTTTTATCGCAAAGATCGCCAGCAAAAAAGATGTTCCTTTGTCTTCATTAACCCAGCCCAAAAGTGTGAGCCGCCAGGTTTCCAATAGGCCGGACACTCAACTTTTTTGCATAGGTACTTACTACGCGGCAAGGATTGCCATACGCCATCTTCACTAAATAGTCTGAATACTCATTTACTAAGTAAGGCATCATTCTTGACCTGTAGGACATGAATGCCAAAGCCTCCTAGGTCTTTCGGCTTACAAACCACACTTAATTTGGCTAATCTATTATTTTTGTTTTCACTGTCTCCTTGCCAAAAGAATCTGAATCCGAAATAATCCAGTCCTTATAAGACCCTTTTTGGGAGTTGAAAAAAAAGTATATAGATAACCATATTTGTGAGGACATAATTGATCAAGGCCAGCCGTCCTTCAACAGAGAGCAATTTGCCTTTTTAACTGCTCAACCATATCTTTAAACGCTCCTCTACATGTGTTCCACTCCATATTAGTGAGACGTCAGTAATGAATCAGAATTCTCAAATATTAGTATATTAGTCGCTGCTATATACAGAGCTCCCTGCTGAGTGTTTTGGCCATCCGGTGGACCACCAATTCTGTAACGAAAGGACCCTAGCAAATGCGGCTCCTCTGTGTGCAAATCCTTCTTCCTCCTCTAATATGTTGTACCTCTTATTCCAAGAATCAATCCATTGAGAGAGTTGTTCCATGTGGTTGATAGAGTCGCTCCTTGCTGTTTTGAGATTTGTTCCTTGTTACAAGTAGGACCGTAACACTCCACCTCTGTATCCAGCCCATATTGGTACCACGTCATGGGTTTCAGCGGAGCAACACGCCTTGGCGGTGGAGGACCGAGTTCCTTCACCACCGGTGCTACGCGGTAGTCCTTGGGCACAACTACCGGAGCTAGGTTTTATCAGTCGTCTAAACTATAGGATAGGCTCCATCAAAGACGTGATCTCCAACTAACCCGTTGCATTAGAAGTGTGATATACCCATTCTTCCACTCATTTGGATTTCTAGGTCAAATGTGATGCAGATTCAATATGGTATTAGTGTCAATAGGTCTTGATTAAAGACTTCGGCCAACATATAGTTATATCGGTCCCATGTCTGTAGAAGGATTTAGTGAAGCCTAAACATAAGGGATGCATAAATATATTGACGACCTTTCTTCATGAGTTTAGACCTTGCATGAATTGGCTACTTCATGTAGTGACGTGAAATGTCTTATAAAAGTTTGCAAAGGGTAGTAAATAATGTGACGCGTGAGTGCCAATTCCTATCCAAGTCCTTCTCCAAGAAAGTGGGTAACATTATTTTCTAGATGATCAAAGTGGTAAAACCAACCAAGATAGGTGTAGCCAAGTCTTGTGGCGACAAGTGTCACTTCGGGGCAGGTCCCAGAGACAAAATTACTGGATATCTTAATGTAACAGCATAATTTCCACATATTTTCCATCGTGTTACCCATTGTACCAAATATGAAAATTACCACGCTGAACTTGAGTAAGCTCCTAGATACTTGCAAGTTGTAACGCACATCTAGTAGTATGTATAGTATGTTGTTCTGAAACTACTTAGTGAGACGAGCATGCACACGTGCGGTGCATGCGATTGCTAGTATTCGGCTAGATAATTGGTTCCATTCGGCATTGTTCGTGTGAGCTTCTAAATTTCGTTTTCTTTTCATTAAAGTACCATTTGTTATGGAAAGACGAGAATGGGTAAAATGTCATATCGTGTTCCGTGAGTGCCGATTCTGATCAAAACTTTATGTAACCAAAGTAGGTCACTTTTTGATTGACAGGATCAAAAAAGTGGGTAATGAATTATGACTTGTTGGGGAGCACAGTGATTATTATGATTGGAGTTAAGTGGACTCACCCACATGAAGCAAATCTTGTTGTCATGTGTCACGAACAGTTGAACACATGATCAATCATTATGCGGATATGCATTATGTGCCTCATCTTACAACTCCAATTACAAAGTTCATTAGTGCAGTGGACTATGAGATGCTCACATGCAACAATTTTTTTTGCGAGAACTCAGATGCAACATATAATATATACTCCCTTCGTCGTATAATATAGCATAAAAGATGCTACACACACGGATTTTAGTTTATACACAGACTATCTCTCACAAAACGCAGAAATATCTCAGAATTTTGGCCATCTCACTGAATATTGCTTTAAGAAAAAACAAAACTATCTCTCACAATTACGCAGAAATATCATCAAACACGCATGGTCAAGCTTGGGGGAGAACCGGATAAACTCTGCAAATACGAGCGCGCGCTCATCCGATATTCCGACGGCGACGGCTACGGGTGGAGTACCGGCGAGGAGAAAATAGCGTGTCGCTTCTCCACACGTACGTGTCCGGTAGAGTAAACACAAAGACTGAAGAAAGCTAGTGGCAGGCAGGACAGGATTCGCAAAAGGTTGGAAAAGATTGAAACTGGACCGCGACACATTATAATTCTAGCCGCCGCTCGTGTTTTCCTCCATGCATCAGCATCACCGCGCGTGCACTGAGCTTTCCGCGGCCATCGTCACGTCGATGACGTGCTCGGTGCGTCGTGCCCGGCCCCGTTCGCTCCTTGATTTCAACTTCTTCAGTCGCACTGAACCACTTGCGCTTGCACGATGGTTCGCCGGCGACCGGTGAGCGCATCCAACCAACCATTTAAAGCTACTGCATCATCCCGGTGCAAGTGCAACAGCCACCAGATAGGCAGCTAAGGCCTAAGGGGACAGCCAAAACCTTTGTAAAGCCAAGGGATCTCGGGCCTTGCCAGTTCGGAACTAGAGCGGAACCATGCCGGTCACGCAGGCGCCGGGGCGGAGCATGGGGCCAGTGAGCGTGGCGCGGCGCGAGCTGAGCAGCCGCGCGTGGTCGCTTTCATCGCCTGCCAGCCCGCAGCCGCGCTACGGGAGCATCGTCACCGTGCTCAGCATCGACGGCGGCGGCGTCCGTGGGATCATCCCCGGCACCATCCTCGCTTTCCTCGAAGAAAAGCTCCAGGTGACTAGCTAATTAAGTTTTTCATGTAATTTAGGCAATCATATCCTGCTTGCACTTGCACGCATCCGTCCGCAATGAATTGTTGGGGGTGCGTAGGAGCTTGATGGGCCGGACGTGAGGATCGCGGATTACTTCGACGTGGTCTCCGGGACGAGCACCGGTGGCCTGGTGGCGGCCATGCTCACCGCGCCCAACGCCGAGGGCCGCCCACTCTTCGCTGCCAAGGACATCAACAAGTTTTACCTCGAGCACTGCCCGAATATCTTCCCTGCCGTCTGGTGAGGATTACATAGTACATGACTCGCAGTCTCGCACATCATTTATGTTTTTGAGAGACGGAAACGTCCTCAGCCTCTGCATCGAGTGAGCAGCGTACGCTCAACGAAAGTAATCATGAGCTAAGTATGTAAAATCTTTTGAGCAGCAAAGGACCTCTGGGCTGGCTCAAGAGCATGATGGGGCCCAAGTACAGCGGCCACCACCTGCACAAGGTCGTGAAGGAGCTGCTCGGAGACACACGCGTCAATGAGACGCTCAAGAACATCGTCATCCCCACTTTTGACATCAAGCTCCTCCAGCCTACCATCTTCTCAACCTACGACGTACGTATGTAGAAGAACACAAACTGATCCACGTGCATCTATACAAGTTGGCATGTCATCCGCTTGTTTTGCTGGTCACTATTTTTCGATAGCTAATATTCTCTCTCCATCCAAAAATAAGTGGCGTTGATCTAGTAAAACTTTGTACTAAAGTTGTACTAGATAAACAACATTTTTTTAATGGAGGAAGTACTACCTCCGTCCCGGTGTATAAGTCATTCGCGTAGTTCTAGGTCGATAATTTAACTATCTAAATATGTATTATATGTGACAAAAAATATACATTTAGAAACTACATCCGTGTGGAAATCTAGTGGTATACTTTTCATGACATATAACACATATTTAATTCCTCAAATCGATGACCTAGAACTACGCGAATGACTTATACACCCGGACGGAGGGAGTAGTATATATGATTGTGTACGTCAAGGGATGCAGTGACAGGAGGTTTACCCTTCTTTCAAAAGCAAAGCTTAGTAACATATACATGATACAAAATCTTAACAGGCCATGAGGGATGTCTCCAAGAATGCTCTTCTGTCGGATGTCTGCATTAGCACGTCGGCCGCGCCGACCTACCTCCCCGGCCACCATTTCGAGACCAAGGACAAAGACGGCAAGACCCGGGCTTTCAACCTAATCGACGGAGGCGTCGTCGCTAACAATCCGGTAACTCATGCTAACACACTAACACGACAAGCAAGCTTGATGGGAGCTTGCTAACATCCTCACTAACTTACATTGAGGTGCATGCGCAGACGTTGTTGGCGATGACCCACGTTAGCAAGCAGATCCTGATGGGAAACCAGGACTTCTTGCCCATCAAGCATGCGGGTTACGGCAAGTTCATGATCCTTTCATTGGGCACCGGCACAGCCAAGATCGAAAAGAAGTTTGATGCGGCTGAGTGCGGCAAGTGGGGCCTTCTCGGGTGGCTCTACAAGAGGGGTGCCACGCCGATCATTGATAGCTTCAGCGAAGCTAGTACCGACCTCGTCGACATTCAAGCATCCGTGCTCTTTCAGGTCCTGGACTGCAACAAGAGCTATCTCCGGATCCAGCACGACGAGCTCACTGGCGAAATGGCCTCCGTCGATGTGTCCACATCAAAGAACCTCAACGGGCTCATTAGTGTCGGCAAAGCGTTGCTGAAGAGACAGGTGTGCAAGGTGAACGTCGAGACAGGCAAGAACGAGCCCGATCTAGAGAGGGGCACGAACGAGGAGGAACTGGCCCGTTTTGCCTGCATGCTGTCGAAAGAGCGCAAAGCTCGGAAAGAGGCCTACAAACTTGTGTAGTCTGAATATTTACCCCTGTTTGTATTTGATGATGTATGCATGTTGGATATTTATGTGGCTTTCGACATTCTTCATATGGTTATTGTCTAATGTGAAATTATTCATAATATTAATGTATGTAATGAGGAATTTTCCATATTATTAACTTGAGGAAAAGGAAACAGAATTTTACTCAAAGAAGAAATAGTCATGGCCAATGTGGTTGTGCTAAAATAGAATAGAGAATAAAGGGATGTCCGCTCTACTGTAATTTTATACTACCTTCGTTTCTACGTGACCAACGGCGGAGCCAGGAAATAAACATAAGGGGGGCCGAACATCAAGGACAACTCTAAAATGCAACTAAGCCTGGCGGAATATATAGGACTTGACACTGAGTATAGCAAAATATTTACTATTATAACCGTAAGTGTTGATAATATAGACAAGATTTTTTTTGGATCAAAGGACACGGCCCCATTTTTATTATGAAAATGGAAATGGAGTCTTATCCTACAGAGACTAATCTCGAGATTTTTTTTATGTTGCAACCAATACTTTGAAACAAAACTATATCCACCAATGAATGTTGTGAATTAGGATACCAAAATGCAAGATCTTTCATATTGTACTAGTGTAGCCGCTTCCTGATGTGCTCCAAAGTACAAACTGAAGAGAATAGAACTAGCAAGATTTTTGTGTCTTCATCAAAATATAACAAAAAGGATTTTGTAGCCTCGTCCCAGATTTTGGCTTGGAAAAATAGAGTAGTTGAGACAGAAGGGAAACTACACGAGTGAGAAGGAAGCACACCTGGTGTGTCTATGTTTGTGAAATGTAGAGTGTGGCTGTGGGAATGAGAGCAAAAGTCAAAATGGTTCTCAGTTTTCACCGATTGGGATCCTCTGTGAACAATACATGTATTTCATTTGCTAAAATGGTGTAGATCACATAGCTCTAGGCATGTTTAATTAGGGGTCTTCAAACATTTTCTGCAGGTTGGGGGCGGGGGCGTGGCCCCTGCTGGTCCCCCTGGCTCCGCCATTGTACGTGTGACGAAGCGCAAAGTAGTCAGTACCCTCGGTAGGGTGCCGTACATGGTCGGAAGTACCAGAACGGATCCCGCACGCACAATATACCCAGGTTTGGGCCTTCGGTGAGGAGTAATACCCTACATCCTGCGCGTTGTTCCTATTCATGGTGGGTATATCTCGTGCGAGAGATTACAATGGGGAGCATGAAGATGCTACCGGGAGTTTATTCTATGGGAGTAGATGGGGATGAGAGCCCCGTAGCCCTCATCTTATATACACGATGGGGGGTAGAGTTTTACAAAGAGATAGATCCAATCTAAGGCCGCCGCCAGGATGACTTGGGGGGCCAAGGTAGTCTCATGGATGTATGTCTATTCTTCGGGGCTCCCTCTTATGTTGGCTACTTGGTAGGCCTCATGCCAACCCCCTCCCCCGCCCCCCATACGGGCCTTTTGTTGGGCTCCCTTGAGAGAAGCCACCCCCCGTGCATGGCAGCGTCCGTAGCCCCCGAGCATGTCTGGAGTTTGAGTTTCTTCGATTTTCGAGAACCCAGACGAGCTCCTGATTTTGGACCCGTTGAATCGGCACTGATTAGGGATTTGAGGGTTTTCACACACATGGGGTAGGAATTTTGAGGGTTTGAGTATAGACGGTAAATCTCTACTTCAAGCTTGTAGTCATCCACCTCGAGGGGAAATGTAGAGCGGCCAGGCTGAGAAACCCTCGCCACCATCTCCAATGCTTTGTGCTCCTACTCATTGTCGGAGTCATCTAGAAAGACCTTGATCATACGTGTAGTGACATTTTGATTGGAGCACTAGTTCATATGTGTATGTTCAATGTAGATTGACAAGCTCGTCATGGGAGGCAACGACAAGGCTGGCAAGGAAGTCGTCGTTGACGGAATGGGCAAGGAGCTCACCTGTGAGGGGAAGGGCAAGGAGGTCGACTCTGATGGGAAGGGCAAAGGGACCGCCTCGGG